ATGTTGTATTCGAAATGTCCATTCAAAGTTAAGGTGATGATTTTGTAGCTACTATCAGTCTTTTGAACATAATGTATGTGTATAGAAAGAAATGAAGGATCGGCAACTGGAGTTGTAGAAAAAACTTTCTTGACTATATTTTTTGTATATTGCTTGATGAATTCTAAGTTAGGTAGAAAGAGATATTAGAAGTTGAAGTTAGCACTTTAAATCTAAAGATAGTAAGTAATTTGATTCACTAATGGTTGTATTTTGAGCTATATCTTAAGTAATTTGATGAGATTTTGGCCCAAAATTTCCAAAAAAATGTGTAGTATTATGTTGATATATTTTTTGTACAAAATTTGTAGCATTTGAATTTTGGATTTTTGAGATATGAAAAAAATAGTATTCAGATGCTTGTAAGTTAGGATTTAGAGCACCAACTAGGATTTCTAAGATACCAAACGATTGATAGAGAATTTATAGTTTATTTTTTTTGTATTAAAGCTTAAGAATAATAGCTAAATTATATGAAAATTGAAAAGAAATTAAATAGTTGGATCAAGAGATATGAATTTCTAAAGTTTGAAAAGAAAAAATCCTTGTGGAAAAAATATATTTTGAGAGATTTTACTACAATTTGGATATTTTATATGACATAAAGAGGTTTTGGGAGCCAAGACTTTCTACATAAGTTAAAGGTGGAATAAATCACTTATTAGAGCTTAGCCAATAAATTAAAACTAATCTCTCTATAGCTAGATATCTTGTGTATTCCTAGATTTCAAATCATGCCATACGACAATAGACATATGTATTTACCAAAATAAGAAGTATTAGGTAGAACATAAATATAAATAGATTTGATATTATCTTGTAGCAAATCTTTTTAAAAGCTTTATAAACATGTATCCGATTTTATACATGTTTATAATTGATTAATAGGTTAAAAACCTAGCCAACAAATTAGCCATGTGATACATGTATAGATAGCTTGTGATACAAGCTAATAATATAGCATACATATAAGAAACTTATTTTCCAAGTTAAGACACATGTCTTATAAATTAGATATGTGTTGGACATTGCCACATAACTCCTAATTGATACTATATGTGGAGGTAAGAATGTAGTCTTCTTCACTCTTATCAATTCTTTTCTAGTTTCTAGTCTTATTTCAAGACTTTTTAGTTTTTATATCTTTAGCAATAGCCATTCAAGTTTCAATACTATATTAGTTTTGATTGAATATCTACTCTCTTTGAGTTACATAAGAGTATATTGAATTTTTGGTTTTTTGAGATTTATGTCTATAACAATTTATTAATTGTCACTTAGAGATTTGCAAAAAAATTCATACAATTCTCCAAAATATAATCCTTTTTTTATTCTATAAAAAAAAATTACTAAGAATAATTTTGACTTTGCAAAGCTCTCACAAAGACATTATTTACTAAAATCCTTTAACTAATGTCCAAAAATCCGCATCAAGATTCGTCTCCAACTTTACTTTTTAATTAATAGAAGAATCTCACATTTGCCATAGATGTATAATTTTGTATCTTAGAATCTGGTTTTGACTATGGTTCATAAACAGTCCTTATTGGGTATTAATCTAAGGTTTTTTTTAGCAATTTTTATTAAAAGTTAATCTTTAATTTTTCTTAAAGATGCTTATAATATTTTTTTAATCTAATTTTTTTTTGTTTTATTTATAGTCCTACAAAATAAAAAGAAGTTTTTTTTTTACAAAAAAATGACATTGATATTAAAATTTTTAACTACCTATCTAATTTTTACTATATTTTTTGAAATAATTTTCTACTTTATTTTTTTCTTTTTACCAAATAATTATGTTATAATATAAAAAAGATGATTTCTACTTATTTTCCATCCACTCTAATAACAAGAAAAGTTGATGGAATCATTTGACAAAATAATAAAAGTTCATCTATAAATAAGAAGTCAGCAGAGACATAGGTATATGTATCTATTTAGTAAGAAACTATATCATGACAAATAAGAAGTGATTTAGAGGCTCAGTAAATAGCAAGGCTAATCTAATTCCACCATTTCAACAAGGCTCATTGCCTTCTTCCTCTAATATATTCAAGTATAGTCATATTAAATCATCTCTACTTTCATTTCTACATACATATTTTTTTCTTCAACCACAATTGTTATGATGCAATTTTACCTCCCTTGTTGCCTCTTTTCTTTTTATTTTTTCTAATCAATGTGTAGAATTGATGCAAGAGTTGAAAAAGGTTCGATCATCCTTCATAAAGCCGGGAGCAAAAATGAATCTTGATGCATTAGAATGAAGACATGTTATAAGAATTTGTGGTTGTTGTAGTTGATTTATTAATTGTAATGGCTGACACCACCTAAATATACAACATAAGAAAGGTGGAAAAGAAGTTTGCAACAAAATAGAAGTATGCATAATAAGTTAAAGAAGAGCCAAACTAATAGGAGAGGCATTGTAGGAAATGGAGTTGCATCGTAGTAGTTGAAGTTGAAGGAATATGCAAGTATTTAGAAATAAAGGTAGAAAAGATCTAATATGATATTTACTTGAATATGGTAGAAGAAGAAGGTGGTGCTTGAGCAAACTTAGTTTGCAATAAGTCCTTGAATCTTCTTGTTTTTCACTACAATAATGTTTCTTATTGGATAGATCAATATTGCCATATAATTACTTCCTTGTTTTTCTTGATAGATAAACTTTCATTATGTTATTGAAAAAAATTTCCTAACTTCTTTTGCTGCACAAACATCAAATAATCAAGACAAAATACATTGATTCAAAACTTTGATAGAATTTAATAGAATTTGATTGTGAATCAATTTAATATTTTCTTTAAATTATCATCATTTTTTTAATTATAACAATCATAGGTTCAATATTTTAATGATTTAAAAAATAATATGCTAATGCATATATATACTTTAATTATTTTAATTTTAAAAATTACTTTTAAGACATTGCATTTGCAAATCATTTTCTATAAATTCAAAAAATATATAAATTATACTCAAAATATATGCTTACACATGTTGAATACTAAATCACAAGGTATTAAATATAAGAATATTATGTTTTTTATAATATAATCAAACAACATATATCTTGAACCATTTCTGTTTTATTACCACAATTCAAATATTATTTTGCACCTAATGCTGCTTATGTTCATACAATGGTTAAATATTAATCATTTCCATAAGTATCTTTTATTCTAAATGTTTCTTGCTTTGGTTGTAGGCAGAGTTTGTCAAACTAAATGCTATTTAGAATAATAATAATAATCATAATAATAATAATCATAATAATAATAATAATAATAGAAAGAAAGAGAGGAAGAAGAAGAGTAGCGGATTGAGAAACAAATTAAACACTATCTTGACTTTCAACTCACTAAAACCAGCAGTACATTGCCCCAGTATTTCAACTATTTTAAATGTCAAAGTGCCCAGTCCTGGAATCTCGATTTAAACGGGAACACACCAACCTCACAGCAGATGCTGACAGCAGTCCACATCAGCATTCCACGTCGGTATGAAGGTCCGACAGAAATGGGGTCAGAAGAAGGGTTGGTTCTCGTGATCGATCTCTCACTGGCAGTCCACAGTCTGCAAAGCGTCTGCAAAGCGCTGCAACTCAGTGCAAGCCTCGCCATCGCCATCGCCATCGCCATCGTCCAACCCCACCCTCTAGCATCACCACGCCATTCCAGCGCCCGCATCCTGCAGCCCTGCTTCGGGCTCGTCATCCACTTCTTCAACTACGCCCACTCAAAAGCCTTCCAAAAACTGATACTACCCAAGCCAACCTCCTTCAGTGTGTCATTTCTCTCGACCCAAGATTTGGCTTTGTCCTCGTCGTCTGGGATTCAAACGCGCCGACTTATCGCTTGAATTTAGTACTTGCTCACACTGCGACTCTACCTGCAGTGTGGGTCTATGATTATGTTCTGTCTGCAGTCAGAGCGACGCGGGAGCGTTGCGACCCGCCGGGGTTGGTATCACAGCCTCGCCTGCTGCGACAATTTGCTGTTTTCTTTTATTTTATGTTTTAACATGGAACTGATTACAAAGACTGTAAGCTCCCGGTGACAGTTGTATGGTGTGTTTCCAGGCAGAATCTATTTCCAGTTAAAACTTAACCATCGTTTGCAAAGCTTCATGTGAATATGTGAGTGAGTATTTTCTTTTATAAAGGATTTGAAAAAAGTGTTGCGAAGACACTCAGTTAGTGTTTTGATTCGTCACCACGTAGGAAAGGGCCACAATTAGAGGTGCTTCTCAATCACAAAAATTCTCTACTTAATACTCTATATTGAACACAAATAGAGTATTCTCAACATGGATTTTTTTTTTATTTTATTTTCAGTGTATACTTTTTGGATAATGTCACTAGACATAGTACAATTAAAACAAATTGTGTCGCCTACACATCCAACCAATATTTGAAAGATAAACTCAAGTCTTTTCTTTTTCATTTTTTTTTCTTCTTTAGTTACACTAAATAATTTTATTTCCGAGAAAAACTATTTAAATGCCCATTTTAATTTGACTTTAACTCTTTGTTTGCCTCTTCTTTTTACAGTAAAATCCACTTTTGTTTATTTTATTTTAATTTTTTTGTCTCATTAGTTCAAATTAAATCTCTATAATATTGAAATCTTTATAGAATCTAAAGTGATTTATTCGTACATCTCTTCTATTCTTCTTCACCTTTTAGATTTAATGTAGTTTATTTTTAATTAAATTGCACATAAAAATTTTAATTTTTTATAAAGTTTTATTGTACATAAAGCCATCCAATTTTGATCTTACATGTCATCTATGATTTTTTTTTTTTTTTTTTTTTATATCTTTTTTTTGAAAGTTGAAAGTTTTGTTTTTATCTGATTTAATTTCATTGACTGAGTTATGATTCATCTCGAAGGAAAAGGATTTTTGAGCCTTCATCCATTTCCCCTTGCGAATGAGCTCGCCCAGTGCACTTTTTCGCTGGCATCTTTGGAGGGAGTGTGTGTAGTGGGCCTTCAAGTGGAGGTTTGGTGTAGTGGTTCCATGGCGGGTTGATTTCTCACTGGAGCTGGGGGAACGGAGACACACACACAGATTGATTAGTGGATTAGTCTTTGTGTGGAGTGTGTCGCTGGGTGTGGCATTGATCGTTGCTGGAGAGAAATCATTTCCGCCTCTCTGCGTACTTGTGTGATTGATGAGTCTTCTCTCTCGCTAGCTTGAGTTGTTGATCCGCGAGCGCTATCCTTACATGCTGCGACCTCTAGCTTGTTCTGGATACACCCACATTGGAGCTTCTCACGTGAACTCATGTGAACTTCCGGTGCGGTTTCACACTGTGCTTGAGTGCATGCCACTTTTCAGCTTCTTGGTGTGACAACAAATCTAGGTTTTTGTACTTTACATCTTGGTGATCAGTTTGAGGCCCTTTTCCTGTGATTTTTGTAATTTTGCTCACTCTGCTCGTGCTTGATTTCTGATGAGGAAGCAGTTGCGAAGTGGAGATCATCGGGAGCTTTGAGGACTGTGGAGTACGATTCAGATTTACTGAAAATTTGATATTAACTTTTTGAACGAAGAGTTATTGAACCTTTTCATATTCTGAATTATTTTTGAAGCTATGGAAACCGGTGATAGCGCAGTGAAGTCTTCCCAGGACGTTCATTACTATGGGAAAAGCACAGCGCAGAAGCACCGGCGCTCGAATGGTATAATCCTCATCTTCCGGGCTCTCACATTCTCCTTTTCGCTGACATCCGTCATTGTTATGGGAACAAACAGGCACAGAATCGATGCGCAATCAAGGGTGGCGTGGTACGATTTTGATCCTTTTCGGTAAGCCCCAACCTTTCTATTTCCCTTCCTATCTTTAATTCGTGACATTTGAAGTCTCTTTGTCGTGGAATGGCGTCAATTATTTACCTCGCTGAAGTTTCTAAGCTCGTGTTCTTCGAAATCAATCCTTCCAGGTATGTCTTGGCAGTGAATGCAATCATCTGCATCTACTCATTTGTGGAGATCTGGCTAGCGGTGTACACATACCTGAAGGACACACTCTTCTTACCTGAAACCTTTCAAGTTTGGTTCGACTATGGTCACGACCAAGGCTTCGCATATCTCTTGTTTTCAGCCAACTCCGCCGGCATTGCGATGGCACAACTCCTGCAATCAGGGAATTCCTTGATTCACGGTGCATACCGGTGCTCGGACGCAGGAGTTTTCTGTACTCAAGCTCGGGCGTCGATCGGACTCGGATTTGGGGCATTTCTCTTTCTCGCCCTGTCGTCCCTTTTGACGGGATTACGAGTTGCCAGATGGTATTTCTCTTGATAAGATTCCAGGTTGAGAAACCATAAACCGATTTTTATTCGTCACTTTTTGAGTGGGGTTCGAAATTTGCATCACCGGTATGCATCTCGTGGACATCTCGACAGGAAGGTTTCAGCGTTACCTCGCAAAACTCCTAGTTTTTTGGGGCCAAGTTGGCCCCAAGCGTATTTGCGCCATCTCTCTGTTGGCATCATACTTTTCGGAGTTGTTTGCGACAGTTTTTGGAGGCTCGAGTTTGAAAGTTCAATACGTCTGGCGCCTCAAAAAAGACTTGGCCAAATATGCGTGACTTCTTGTTTCCACGCGCTCAGAAAATTAATTGCAGCACAGGTTGATAGGTGGATAACTATAATACTAGAAGAGCGTGTCGATGGTTTTAGCTGTTGAGAACTGTGTCTTTTCGACACAAAATTTGAGTGACCCACAAGAATAGTGAGCTAATCCTCATGCTCAACTGATCTTAATAAATTTAGAATGTTTGCTCACCCTATTACTCGCAATTTTGCTCATTTCATAAGATGTTTTGTGTTATGTCATGTGTGCTGTAGTCGCTGCCAGCTGCTCCATTGCCACACGAAGAGAGAATTACCTGGTGAAGGGAGCTCTACTAGAATGAGAGAGCTTGAATGTATATACCAGGAGTCACATTATCAAAATTCTTTACTTGTTGCTGTGTTGTAGTTTCTGTGCTTAAAAGTAACGATTGCTTCTGGGTGTCTCTGATAAATGGATCCAATCTTCGTTCAAAGAGCACAAAAGCCTTTGTGTGCACCCGACCGATGTAAAGTAGATTCCAGTTCTTGCAACAGCACACCCGTCAGATGAGCATGTTAATTCTTCGTTAAAGGAATTGGTGTGTTGGCCAATATACGAAGGTGCAGTGTTGCTCTTTTTTGTGAAGCCAGTACTGATTTGAGCTGCTAGTTTCCTGGAATCGTCCATAGTTCTATTGGATCTCAATAGTAGCGCTGATGAGCTTCTAGTTCCAATTCCTTTTGCTTCTTGAGTCGCTCATCTCAAAATGCCGGAGTCCTAGCATTTTAGTGAATTAGTGAGTTAGCTTACAGGTTGTTCAACAATGAAGAACCTCATCAAAAAAAAAGATAAAGGAGCATGATAGAAAAGATCAGCGGTTGAAGCAGGAGGATTGTGAAGATGGATTTGTTTCACTCCAGCCTCTGAGTAGAGTTAGTATCTTTAAAAGGGTATTTTGAAGAGAGAATCAGTATTGAGTCTTGAAGCTGCATTAATATTTTAGCACTGTACACTAGAAATTCAGGATTATGACTCAAACTGCAGTGGGACAGATTATGAAGTAGCACTTTCAAAATTAGGGTTGTAGGAGTTATATGAAAGTGATGGTGATGGACAGTGGTTGGATGCTTTCAGGATTAAGCAGAAGTTTCGACTGGAAACACACTTGTGGTACGTAACTTTTTGGATGGAATTGGCTTGCTAAATCAATATCTTCAGGAATGGTTGATCTTGTCAAGTGTTTGGGCAGAAAAGAACGATGAGGTTAAACGTTCGTCTTCGGTGATTCCATCACCCTTGTTTCTAGAGTTTCTTGCCTTGATGACCTAAATTGTCGGGCTAAGGTTGAATTCTGAATGGATCGTTTGATGCAATGATGGTCATATAATCATAGAATTGAAGTCTTATAATCTGAAGCGTTGAACCTGATATGCACGAAGTACGAGCAGGACTTCGCACAATCTCTTGATTTCCTTTACTGGAGCGACACATTTAAAGTGAAACCCCACATCACTTCAGGAATCACATGACTATTATTTGAAATATGGCAACAAACAACTTGGAGACTTTATCGAAATATTGCCTCTAATCCAAAATGTGCGAGGTTTCAAGTCATCAAATCTTGTTTTAAGTCCTCTTTTTAGCTCTGCCACGGAAGTTGGCAGACTTCTTTATCCACTAGGACTTTTCATGGAGAAGGATTGATCAGTGAAACATCTTCCTCTATCGGAGAGCGCTATGAAGCTCCAAAGGCACCAGCTTGGCGTAGCTGAGGGCTATTGCTGTGGATCATAAATCAATTGTGCTTGAGTACGCGTTAAGTTCAATTTGCCTTTGGTTATTCACACACAGTGCATAATCTATCATTAGAACCCATCTTTGTTGGGTGTTTGTGATCCAGAGGCGGGTGGGTGGTTATTTTTTTTTCACAATACCTTAGGCTATTTTGTTTCAAATGCAAATAGAATGTTACTTCTTCTATCATTTCTCCCCTTCTTCCTCATCTTCTCTTCTTCCTCCCCTTCCCTCCTTTCAAGTTGTCAAATAGAATCCTATTATTCTTATGGGCTTTTTTGCATCATCAATGAATGATTTAAGGTATAGCAGAAGACTATTCAATCAAGACACAAATCAATTTGGAAATTATTATTTCAATGGAGAATCAAGGCTTATTCTTAAATATAAGAAGAATGGATAAGAGAAAGTACACCACCAAAAGAAGGCAATACATGTATGGCCCTAACATGATTAAAGCATTGAATTGGATTCATTAGGTCACTAATAGTCAACTCAACAATAAATGAGGAGAAAATAGAGAAAGGAGAAAGAAGGAGGAGAAGATAAAGAAGGCAATATTAGATCTTGGTAGAATCCTCTCTTTAATCTCTTCTTCCAAAAATCACAACACTACGCAAGTCCATCTCAATTGAATTGGTTCATAATAATAGAATGGTAACTTCTTAAACCTCAAAGAAGAATAATTCATGGATTCATATTTTGGCACAAAATGATGGTAGAAAGAACATGACATTATCTTTTATACCATTAAAAGAGCCACTTATGAAGAGTTAGTTTGCAATATATGTTACTGTTAGGGACATATTCTTTAGAACTTTCTAGAGAGAGGTTTCTAGAACCTTCTAGAAAACAAGCCTCTGGAACCTTCTAGAAGAGAAGCCTCTGGAACCTTTTAGAGAGAAGTTTCTAGAAGCTTCTAGAAAAGAAGTCTGTGGAACCTTCTAGAAGAGAAGTTTCTAGAAGCTTCTAGAAAGGAATCCCCTAGAACTTTCTAGAAGCTTCCTAGTTAATAAAAGTAGCTCGAGAAGTTTCTAGAACCTTCTAGAAAGGAAGCCTCTAGAACCTTCTACAAGCTTCCTAGTTAATAGAAGTAGCTCGAGAAGCTTCCTAAGTAAGAGTATATATAGGGATCGAGGCTGAAGAGTTCTTCAGTCTCGACAACACATCTCTTGGAGTTCTAGCTCACCTTTCTGGTGTTGTTCTTGTACTCATCTGTTTAATCTAGTTCTATCACTTCTTCTTGAACTTCTTGTTAGATTTCAAGTCTGTATTTTGTGTCCGTGACAGTTTGTTGAGACTACACTAACTTGAGATATCAGAGCTAGTTCTTTCTTAGTAGAGTGTGGATTACCCCTCTACTTGAAGGTATACTAGCATTTTTTAGAGGTTGCAGATTACCCTCCTCTAAACTGATACTTCTTCTGTTACAATATTGGAGTCTTATTCTTCTTGGAGAGAGTGGATTACCCCTCTTCTTGAAATTCTTAAGGCATTTTATAGGTTGTGGATTACCCTCCTATAAACCAATATTGCCTCTTATAGGGTCATTTTTGTCCTTGTTTTAGAATGACCGGAGGTCAAGACATTAGTATGACAGAAAGTTCGGAGTCTAAGTTAGATGCTATTATAAATGCCCTCGCTACGTTATCACAAAGAATTGCAGAGATTGAAGGAGTGGTGGCAAGGCTTCATAATGATGGAGTATCTGGGATAGCACAATCTAAACTGCACCAGCCTCAAACTTCTGCACTTGGAGAAACAACTTTACCTCAGGTTCGACAAGAACCACTAGTTCTACAACATAAGGAGCCTCGAGTTAGCCTTCCAGATAAGTTTGATGGAACACGTTCCAAGTTTCGAGGATTCGTCAATCAAATCAGGTTGATAACAGTTTTACAGCCCGAACGATATCCAACGGAGGAGTCACGTGTTGGACTTGTTGGAACCTTACTTACGGGTCAAGTTCTATCATGGTTTGCTCCTTTATTTGAGAAACGATCATCCATATTAAACAACTTCGAAACCTTTTTGGAAGCATTTGCGGAAGCATTTGGTGAACACGATAAGGTTCGATGGGCTACAACAAAGATCCGGTCGCTACGACAGGGGATGCGTTCTATATCAGTCTATGCTTCGGATTTCAGGCAATTAGTATGCGACATCAATTGGGATGAAGAAGCGTTGATGAGTCAATTCTATTGGGATTTAAGAGATGATGTGAAGGATTTGCTGTTAACTCTTCCTGATCCAAGAACGCTCAATGAAGCCATTAGCCAAGCTGTGAAGTGCGATAATCGCCTATTCCAACGTCGCCAAGACCAACGCTCAAGACAACATACAATTTGCCATGCTCCAACTATGTCGGCAAGCAGTATAAATTCGCATTCAGAGGTAGAAGACATGCAAATTGATGCTGTACGTATCAAATCTCTTACTATAGAAGAAAAAAAGCGATGTATGGAAGAAAATTTATGCTTGTATTGCGGTGGAGAAGGCCACAAAGTCGGAAACTGCCCCAAAAAACAAAATCGAGGCATAGTCAAGACTAGGGGAGTATTTGTTCAGGAAAACGAGGATGCCCAGCCACAATAGGAATCGTGCGGCTGGACAATGAAATATCCCAACAACAATCAGGTTCCTTTCTTTCTACCCAACCTGTCCTTTGTTTTACAATCCCTCTGTTTATCGGCCCTCAAAAACTGAGAACCTTAGCACTACTAGACTCAAGAGCATCTGCTTGTTTTTTAGACGAAGAATTTGCAAAGCGTCATAAGATCCCTTTAGTACAAAAATCAAAACCTGTTCATGTTGAGGTCATAGATGGGTGACCTTTATTGTCTGGTAGCATCACCCATGAATCAAAACCTATAGAAGTAACGTTTAAAGACCATAGTAGTCATATTATTTTTAATATTATTAGAACCCCATCAAATCCTATTATTCTTGGTCTTTCTTGGTTGGAAAAACATAATCCATTGATAGATTGGAGGTTGCGGAAGATGACTTTTCCCACAAAACCACCTAAGAAAAAACCTAGTAAAAAACCTCGAAAAAAGAAATCCTTATTCATTGGAGCAAGAGCGTTTATAAGATCATCTAAGGAAGGCACTCCATTTGTCATTTATGCGGCTCCAACTACCGAGGAGAAGATCTCAACAGTAAGTATACCGGAGCGATATAAAGATTTTGAAGACGTGTTTCAAAAGAAGAACGCCGACATACTACCGGAACACCGACCATATGATTGTGCCATAGACTTGCAAGAAGGAGCACAACCACCTTTTGGCCCAATCTACAATCTATCGCAAATGGAGTTGGCAGAGTTACGAAAGTACATCGACGAGAATCTAGCCAAGAACTTCATTCGTCATTCAAAATCATCAGCTGGAGCACCCATCTTATTTGTGAAGAAGAAAGATGGATCATTACGGATGTGTG